TCATATCATTGGGTTATAAAATAGATCAAAGTGAACGTGCTTGAACTTCTACTTCAAAGTCTACCGATTCATATGATCAACTCATCATCAACTTAACAAATAATATCCTTACGGATTATCTAGTCTTCGATGATGTTGCGAACTACTGTTACGGAAGAAGAAAATCGATGCAAGAACAAAGAAGACGGGTAGATAACTTCTCAATAAGCAAAAGCCTTGACGGTGATGAGAGGGAGATCAACGGATCGTGGCTTAAGTGGGAGCTATAATCATGGTAGGTCAAAATCAAGAAGTAAGAAGAGTTTTAAATGCTACAACTGTGGCAAGCAAGGTCACCTAAAGAAGGATTGTCAAAGTTTGAAAAGTTTCAATCCTCAAGGAAATGTGGCAAGTACTTCGGATGATGGAAGCGCTCCGTGTTGTGAAGCAATAACGTCACATAGTGATAGAAAAAGATCTATTGATGTGTGGCTATTCGACTCGGGAGCTACGTTTCACATGACCTCCAGGAAAGAATGGTTCTATCATTATGAACCTATCTCGGGAGGATACGTGTACGGTTGCAATGATCATGCTTTAAAGATCATTGGCATTGGAACCATCAAGCCGAAGATGTATGATGGTATAATTCATATTATTCAACAAGTGCGGCATGTGGAGGGCTCGAAGAAGAACTTGTTGTCTATAGAACAACTGGATGATCTTGGATACAAGATCGATGCGAGAAGGGGATCTCGAAGATAATCAAATGAGCGCTTGTACTTATGAAGGGAGAAAAGATAGCTGCAAAATTATACATGCTTGAAGGGAGAGACTTTATAAGAAGCGAAGCATCGATTACTTTAAACAGTTCGAGTGAAAGATCTACAATAATGTGGCATCGAAACTTAGGCATATGTTTGAACAAGGGATGAAAATCCTTGCTGAGAAAAAGCTACTTCGGGACTCATAAAAGTATATTTACCCTTTTGTGAGCATTGTGTTATCAGCAAGCAACATTGATTGAAGTTTAGCACATCAAATTCTAGAAGCAAGACTATTCTAGAATTGGTTCACTCTAATGTGTGGCAAGCACCGGTTCCATCCCTAGGAGGAGCAAAGTACTTTATGTCCTTCATTGATGATTATTCTAGGAGATGTTGGGTATATCCTATCAAGAGGAAGGGAGATGTGTTTTCGGTCTTCAAAGTTTACAAAGCACGGGTTGAACTTGAGTCTTGAAAGAAGATCAAGTGTTTGAGGATGGATAATGAATGAGAATACACTTGGTGATGAATTTGATACATTCCGTAAACAAGAAGGTATCAAAAGCCGGTTCATGGTTGCATACACTCCTCGATAAAATGGAGTGACAGAGCGAATGAATAGAACCTTGTTAGAAAGAACAAGAGGTATGCTCGAGGATCGTAGGCTTAGGAAAGGCATTCTCGGCGAAGCGATCAATACCGCGTATTATATTGTGAATCGATCCCCATCAACTGCAATTGAGTTAAAGACACCGATGGAGATGTGGACTGGTAAGCCGGTTCATTATTCAAATTTTCATATATTTAGAAGTCCTGTGTACGTGATGTACAATGCCCAAGAAATTACAAAGCTAGATCCAAAATCCAGGAAACGCTTATTCTTGGGGTATGCTGATGGAGTCGAGGGTATCGCTCGTGGGATCCCACGCCCACAAGGTTATTGTCGGCAGGGAGGTTATCTTTGTAGAAACAGATCTACAAAGGAAAGAACAAGGTAATAGCACTTCAAAAACTACAAAGGTACGAGTGGAAAAAGATTCGAACAAAAAGATCCTTTTGAAGCGGCACCAAAGCATGAGGGAGAGGAACCGGTTAAGTCCGAAGTTTCAAAACCCCGACGGACTAATCGCACGAAGGCGACTCGATTGGCATTCAAACTATATTATGAAGAGCAATGTTGCATACTTGTCTTTTAACGGAAGAAAGAGAGCCATCAACTCTCAGAAGCGATGAACAACTCGGATGCATCTCTATGGATGACGACGATGCGGGAAGAAATTGAAGCTCTTCACAAGAACAAGACTTGGGAACTTGTGACATTACCACAAGGAAGAAAGCCTATTGGTAATAAATGGGTTTACAAGATCAAACGAAATGCTGATGATCGAATGGAGCGATATCGTGCAAGGTTAGTGGCGAAAGGTTATGCTTAGAAAGAAGGGATTGACTTTAATGGGATATTTTCTCCTGTGGTTCGACCGACAATAGTCCGAGTAGTCCTGGCAATGTATGCTATGTTTGACTTACATCTAGAGCGAGTTAGATGTGAAAATGGCTTTTCTTCATGGAGATCTTAAAGAAGAGATTTATATGCTCCGACCGGAAGGTTTTGAAGAAATAGAAAAAGAGAACTTGGTTTGTAAGTTGATCAAATCTCTCGTATGGTCTAAAACGAGCACCGAGATGTTGGTATAAGAGATTTGATTCATTCATCATAAGCCTTGGATACAACGGACTTAATGCGGACCCTTGTGCATATTTCAAGAGGTTTGGTGAAAGTAATTTTATTATCTTGTTGTTGTATGTCGACGACATATTGGTAGCGAGCCCCAACAAAGATCATGTTAAAAAATTGAAGGCATAGTTGGCTAGGGAATTTGAAATGAAGGATTTAGGACCAATAAATAAGATTCTAGGGATGCAAATTCACCGAGACGAAATAATAGGAAGATTTGGCTTTCTTAAAATACTTATTTGAAGAAGGTCTTGCGACGTTTCAACATGCAAGATTGTAAGCCAATTTCTACCCCACTTCCTATTAATTTCAAGTTATCCTCCGAGTATGAGTCCTAGCGAGTGAAGAAGAGAGGATGGAGATGTCTCGAGTACCGTATGCATCGGCGAGTGGGAAGTTTAATGTTCGCTATGATTTGTACAAGGCCGGACATTGCGCATGCGATGGGAGTGGTTAGTCGATACATGGCGAATCCTGGTAGAGAGCATTGGAATGCAATAAAGAGGATCCCGAGATACATTCGGGGAACCTCGGATGTTGCATTATGTTATGGAGGATCAAAATTTACTTGTCGGCGGTTATGTTGATTTCGATTATGCAGGTGATATGGATAAAAACAAATCAACTACGAGTTATGTGTTTACACTTACTGGTGGAGTCTGTAAGTTGGGTTTCTAAGCTGCGGTCGATTGTGGCTACGTCAACAACGAAGCGAGATATGTAGCGACTACATAAGCCGATAAAGAGGCGATCTGGTTGAAAATTGTATTGGAGGAACTCGGGCACAAACAAGAAAAGATTTCTCTGTTTTGCGACGGTCGAGTGCCTTGCATCTTGCAAGGAATCCGACCTTTCATTCAAAGACAAAGCATATACGAGTACGAGTATCACTTCATTCGTGAGAAAGTGGAAGAAAGAGCTGTAGATATGCGGAAAATTCATACCAAAGACAACCTGGCGGATTTTATGACAAAGGCAATCAATAGCGATAAGTTTATTTGGTGTCGATCCTCCTGTGACTCGATGAAGACATAAGCAACATGGGAAGACAAGATAGAAAGAATAGTGTGAAGATTTGATTGACTCTCAATCAAATCTTCAAGTGGGAGATTGTTGAAAAAAAAAAAAAAGCTTTCCGTGGACAATTTGTCCACGGAATCACGAGCTTGCATGCAAGCTAGATCACGGCTTACAAAATGCAAGCCGTGACTAACATTGCATCGCCTAAATTGAGGTGGTGTAAGCAAGGGGAGAGGTCTATAAATAGGCCTCTCCACCTTAGTTTGTAATATCCCACCATCCCATTTCAAAGAAGAGAGAGAAAAATATAGAGAGTGTTTTTTTTCTTATGTCAAGAGAGAAATTTATTGTTTTCTCCTTATAGTATAGAGAAAGGGTGTAACTCATATTATTTTTTTCATAGTGTAATTCTTCTATCTTGTCCGTGGTTTTTTCCCTTAATTTGTTTAAGGGTTTCCATGTAAAATCTGTGTGTTCAACTTCTTCTTTATTTCTCAAATTTATTAGCTGCGACCACCGCTCTTTTCGGTCAATAACATCAACATTATCTTCATTATTATTGCCACCATTATTCACGGAATTAAAGACATTTTGTTGGAAAACCCTAAACATAATGAAATATTATTTTTCCAAATATGCAATGTGTAGGTTTGAAAGAATTTTTCTTTAAAAAAAAATACATGACATAAACGATATTTATTAAATAATTTTCCCTCGTAGAGAGATTGTCTAATTTTCTATTTATATTTATTCTAAAATATTTTTTTGATCAAAATTTTAAATTATGTATTTTACTAAAATATCTATAATTAAAATATATTTTATAACAATTATCCAAATACAATTTTTATAAAAAAAATATGATACAAAGATATTAATATAACATAACAATTAATAACTTTCATAATTTATACAAAAAGTAAAAAAAAAAAATTCCTTTGAGAGTATGGAGTATTTACTAAAAGTAGAAAGTTTTCAACAAATAATATTCTTTTTTGTTACCAACTCAACACTGTAGCTTTTTAATTTTTTATACTATTTTTACTTTTCTTTTTTAGTTGATCATCTCATCACCACCTTGTCGCCATCATGTGGACTTATATTCTTTCTTTAGCCCATTTTCACTGGGCCTTAGCTAATGAGAATGTTCATGGTCCATGGCCCAGTTTATTCTTCCCAATTAACAGTCCAAGGTGAAAGAAACAATCCCCTGTCAAAGTTTTCAAAACAAACCCACTCTATCCTTCTCTAAACACTGACACGAAACCAAGTCGAAATTTAAAACAAAAAAATCCAATAATCCAACGGTCCACTTTGTTGGCTCCAAAATCTCTGTATAACTTCTCAACATATAACCAAACCCTCACTCGCGCAAAAAAGAAACAACCATTACTGCACTGTCTGTTACTCTATTTCTATTATTTCCCGGGAAAATTAACTTCCTTCGACGCGTCATCATCATCCCCTCCAATTCCTCTCTCTCTTAGGGTTTCTTCTCGATGGCTGATCCCATGATTTCACAATCAAACCAATCACAGGCCAACATTGCAGCTCCCACGACGCCACGTGGTCATAATCGTCTAAATCTTGAGAACCTCACTCCATCACCGTCATCATCAGGGCATGTCAATAGGCTGATTAATTCTAATCATTATATTTCCCCTTCGAGACCAATTTACTCCGATAGGTTTATTCCCTGCAGATCCAGCTCAAATTTCGCTCTTTTCAACATCTCCTTACCGCCGCCCTCGGCGACGGCGGGGAGTTCGCCGGGGGACGGTGGGAAGGAGGACAATCCTAGTGCGTATGCGGCGTTGCTTAGGAATGCACTATTTGGGCCCCAGACTCCGGATAAGAAAGACTGGGGGGCAGGGGCGGGGGGACGGAATATTTTCCGGTACAGGACGGAGACTCGGCAGTCACTGCACTCGCTTTCCCCTTTCGGGTTTGATTATTTGAGTGGTCCTGGTGTTAGTAATGTTGCTATTAAGACTCCTAGGAAGGTTTCTAGATCACCTTATAAGGTTGGTATTTTAGTAAAGTTGTTTCATATTTTAAGTTTCTTGAGATTTGATGAAATATGGGTTTTATTGGGATTGTGTTATATTGATCGATCCTATTTTTTGTTTTTATGTGTTTTTTTTTTTATATATAACTATATAGGTATTGGATGCCCCTTCATTGCAAGATGATTTTTATTTGAATTTGGTGGATTGGTCGTCACATAATGTGTTGGCAGTGGGGTTAGGTACTTGTGTATATTTATGGAATGCTTGTAGTAGCAAGGTGAGTGTTGTGGGTTATAAAGTTTGGTGCTTTCTTTTTATTTTTATTTTTTTAAGTTTTGGTTGAAGGGTTTTGGTTTTTTACTCTAAAGTCGGTTGTGGTGAAATGTAGGTGACAAAATTGTGTGATTTGGGGAATGATGATGGTGTATGTTCAGTAGGATGGGCTCATCGCGGTACACACCTTGCTGTTGGAACTAGCAATGGGAAAGTTCAGGTTAGTTATAGTTTGCGTTTGTTTTGAGCTTTTGATATATGTATTTGTTGTGTTGACTTCAATATAGTTTGTGGATAGAGAAATAGTTTATCATCGTAAAACAGAATGAAAAGGATGCTGAGTCTTGGCAGGGGAATAAGAAATAAAACTTGATAATTAAAAGAATGAAGTGTTCAAAGATTGTTTTTTTCCAGCAAAGATACGTAAGGATTATGTAAATAGTCAGAGATACAGGTGTTGATCTTGTTAGGGTTAACAAATTTCAACTTGGTAGGTGGCTGGAAGAAACTGCCGTTCTCACCAGAGTCGATTAACCAGACTTTGAGGGTTTTTATTCACATTGTTTAACTGCTACATGCAGGCAAAAACTTTTAAGGGGTTTCTGAACAAGGTGTGTAGAGGACATATTGTTTATTGGAAGGATGAGATGCTTTATGCCCATAGATCATACTCTTGGCCGTACTTGAACCTAGTCATACAAAGTCTTTTACAAGTTCAAAAAGTTTTTTGGGCATAGTCTTTTCGTATGCAAAGATCTAGGGCACGATCACCAGAATATCTTAGAAATTTGTCATCAAACTGAATATTTACATCTATGCTTCATTTGCAGGATTCACTAGATTTTTTTTGTAGAGAAAACACATTAAGAAGGATAAAAAATCATTTTCAAAATTCCAACCACTGTCACATAGCTTTTTTTGCATGCATGATGTGGAGGATACAACCATAAGCAAGATATGTCATTGCAATTCAACTGACATTTATTTTCCAATTAATTTAGTTATTCAAAAATCCCTTACTGTTTTGGCATCCTCAACTGCTGCATCATGTCGTGTTTCTTTGTAATGTAATAATGGAAGTGGATCGTTTTGTTATGTCCAACTCATAGAACTTTGCTTGGCCTTTACACTCTGGTTTCAAATAAATTGTACAAAAGTTCAGTGAACACCAAGTGCTGGTTTAATATCTTTGTTGCATTTGTTGTTACTGTAGCAAAAAAAAATTCTATGAAGCTTCAAGCCTTAACTCTTGGCCTGAATTTTTCAAACTAATTCAAGAAAAAAAGTACCCATGAGAATAAAAAATTTTGTTCGTCCCTAAGAAAGCTTCTTAACTTGTTCACAATAAGCTGTCATTTCAATATTTCCCCATCTCCCCACGAATTCTTTTGGAATTTGAAATCTGTGGTTCTATTTTATATTTGTATTTTTGGTTTCCCTGCAGTTCCAAGGACAGAGGTTGTATTTATACAACTGTTTTGTCATGCGCAGTTCCTCCCTTGTGTTCTTATTAGATTTTAGTTTATCACCTGCTCAACCTAGCATTCCTTTGCTGATTCTCATCAACTTTTATGTAGATCTGGGATGCTTCACGCTGTAAAAGGATCAGAACCATGGAGGGCCATCGAATGCGTGTCGGGGCATTGGCCTGGAGTTCATCTATGCTGTCTTCTGGTAGCCGGGATAAGAGCATTCTTCAACGAGATATACGAGCGCAGGAAGATTTCGTTAGTAAACTCTCTGGACACAAGTCAGAGGTTGGACTCCCCCACATTTTGTTCACATCGATGAAACTTTTTGTCCACCATTTTATGCTGTTTACTTTGGACTTCCTTAGAACTATCACTCTGCTTTTGCATGCTTCTCCATTCTGTAAATGCTGGTAGTGGGCATTTGTTATTACATGTTATAAGCTATCTATGCTATTTTTATTCTGTTCATTGCTTTTATGTTTCTCAGCCTAATAATCAATTGGTTGTGATTTAGGTTTGTGGACTGAAGTGGTCTTATGATAACCGTGAGTTGGCATCAGGCGGAAATGATAATCGAGTGAGTAATTTTTTTTATACAACATATTGCTTGCAATGATTGCTTGACATGAGTTCATGGTTTCCTGCATGGTAAGTTAATTCCATTTCGTCCATATGCAGCTTTTTGTTTGGAATCAACATTCAACCCAGCCTGTTCTAAAATACTGTGAGCATACAGCGGCTGTAAAAGCAATTGCTTGGTCACCCCATCTTCATGGACTTCTAGCATCTGGGGGTGGGACTGCTGACCGGTGTATACGGTTCTGGAATACAACCACTAATTCACATCTAAGCTGCATGGACACCGGTAGTCAGGTCAAATATCTGTTTGTAAATCACTTTTATTATGCTTCTTTAGATACAATATGAGATGCACGTAATTAGAAAAATCCTTACTGGCAACTCATATCTGCCTTTTCCCTTTTTGGTAAGTAAATAATAAATTGTTGAATGATCAAGGGAACATATGGTTACACTGTTTAGACTTGAAAATTGTGGCTTCTGGTAAGCTTGATAAAAAGGAACCCGCGACAAACTATCTTTACTGAATCAAACAAACCAACTATATTGTACAAGCTATCTCTAATAAGATCTAAAAGATAAACCCTAGGCTTTGAAACCTTTTGAGTTGGTCCATACCATAAGATAGCAAAGAGCCAGGGCACGTACTTTTACATGCCTGTAGTCTTGGATTAATAGATCATATTTTTACTCAAAATTTACCCCCCTCTATCTCTGGCCCCCAAAAAATTCTATAATGACTTCAATTTCCATCCTTTTCAGGTGTGCAATCTTGTGTGGTCTAAGAATGTCAATGAACTTGTCAGCACACATGGATACTCCCAAAACCAAATAATAGTATGGAGATATCCCACCATGTCAAAGGTACTGAAGTCAGTTTATTCACGATAATGGTATGTCATCTCCCATCACTCATTTTATTACGTTTGGTTCCTATTTTGCAGTTGGCAACCCTGACAGGTCATACATACAGAGTTCTTTATCTTGCCATCTCACCAGACGGACAGGTAGTTGACCCTCCATTCTTCGTAACTGTATTTTCTCTTCCAATAAATAAGCAGTTACTCCAACCATTTTTTCTTTTCCATATTCATGTGCCTTTCCTAACTGCAATAACTATTACATGTTTCAGACAATTGTCACCGGAGCTGGAGATGAGACGCTGCGGTTTTGGAATGTGTTCCCTTTTCCAAAATCTCAGGTAATTGTTTCATTGAATGATGACAATAATTGAGTCCGTGCTAATTTTTATACACCCCATACTTGATTATTAAAACCAGGTGCATGTTCTTTTCTGTAAATGACAATAAAGGCTTTTTCTATACCTCTATGTTTATATCAATACCCACTAGCAAGATTTAAGAATAGGATGGTGTTGAGAGTAGGCATCAAACATTTTGGTTTTGTATTGCTTACCCTAACCCAACAGAAGACTAACTCGATATACGTATTGATTGTTATTGCAGAACACTGACAGTGAAATTGGAGCATCATCTCTCGGTAGAACTACAATTCGGTGACTTTCGTTGTTTAGTTTCTTGGGCTGTTCTCGCATGGAAGAAAGGTCGTAAATATGTTCGTGACTGGGAGATTATGTGCGTTCAAATGGAGGATTTTCTCGAACCAACCCAGGACCCGAAAACGCCAAATGTGGGGCAAGAGTTGATGACTTTGTCTCATGATTCAGAGGAAATTTCTAGTTTCCTCTTTCTCCCCGTTTGATTTTTTAATGTATAGCGCACTTACCCTTTAAATGTTTCTTGCATTGTATAGTAAAAGAACAGTAAGGGATGTTTTGAGGTGTTGGTTTTCAATAGCTTTTGTAAATAATTATTACTTCCACGTATCTCTATCAATAAAATATGTGAATTATTGCATTGCTATATCCAATTCGAGCAAGAATCTACCAAATCGCAGAATGATCCTTATTAAGAAGGCGTTATAAATTCCTTGGATGATAGCAACTTGTTTAAACATATAGAATGAAACTTTCACGTCATGCATCCGACGGTATCTTACAACAATGGCAAGTTCATCTGTATTTGAACATGCTGACATGTACAGCAGCAATCGTATCTCAAAAAAGAGAGATTTTGGGATGCAAAGAATCTAAGACAAGTGTGTCAACCCCAAAATCCAGTGTCCTGGGGTTGAAGACAAATTCGTAATATTTACATTTCATATCTGCTTATGTAACATCTAGTGAAGAAATAAAACGATCAAAGTCCAGATAGATAGATCCTTAGCGCTGTTGAGCTTGTTGAAAGCTCTGTTGGGTGCTTAGATTATTTTTGTTCCCAAAGGGAACCATTTTGGACCATGGGATCAAGCTCATAGGTGGAAAGCAACAGCTACAGTCCTCTTGGCACGGCTCAGGCAAGTCCCAGTTGCTTGATTGGTTTGGTTGCTCCTTGTTCTCCAGGGACCCACCAGTTTCAGTCGTAGAAGGTGCAGCAGCATCCTTGAGTGGACCCCAGCACTCTACCTTGTTGAATTCTGGAATGTTTGAATGAAAGTAAACCCAAACTAAAGCCTCCGCTAATTCAGGATAGTTGATGAACAAATTCCCATCTCCATGAAAAAAGGCCTTTAATACCTAGTCATCCCAAGTTTCTTCCATGTGATTTAAGGGCCCAATTGTGATCGCCAAAATTAAAACACCAAAAAATAAAAGTAATAAACAGTTTTTGGGCATACCACAGGAAGTTCTTTACGGAAGATGAAATATCTGAGTCGACCACACCAATCTAAAAGAAAATGGCCTCCGCTTATATGGCAATGAACATGAAGAGACATCGTTCCCTTTACTTTCTTCCATTCTGCCACCACTTCATCTCTGTACAATTTGTTGGACCATCCCTGCAACTGCAAGAAAATCCCAAATCCTCTCTTTCCGTCAGTTCATTAATCTAACCTTTTGATTAAGAAAAGGATCAGCATAGTCAAAGCAACTCTCTGTAAATCCCCTGCTATCTTCTGTTTATCTTCTCTAAAATTCAACCTTGTGCTTCCTCCTATATTTCCTTAACCCCGTGATTCAAAATTAGTACCTTGGTAATTTTTTTTTTCAAAAAAAAAAAACCTTCCTAAGGATCCGCTGTTTTCTCTTATATATATATATATATATATATATATATATATATATAATTCAAAGATTTCAACTCAAAAGGGTAGCATGGTACAATTAGCAGATTGAACAAGTTTGACGGTCTCTTAATTACAGAAAAGAAACGTGATTTAGTTTATTGGTATCGGAAAAACAGGATTACCTGAGAATTGTTTATGGTCTGTGAGATGGCTAAAGTAAGTTTAGCTGTAATATCACTATGTGTTAGTGTATAAGTCCTTGGCAGATTCCCTGGATGCTTCTTCTCATCAACCCCTAAAAACAGCACCTTCAGCTTTGATGCCTCGAAAATAGATGGCCCAAATAACCTTGCCACCTGACACCATCAAAACGGCACAAAAGTCGCAATCAACGAATCAGATAAAGAAAAACAAAAATATTAAGAAATAAGCCAAGAGAAGCAGAACTTACAGGACTGATAGATTGGTTCTTCCTCTTGAGTTTTTTCCTTGAAGGAAAGAGAGAGCTGTTCTGATCAAAGAGAGAGGGTCTTGGCTTTGAATGAAGAAAGGGAGCAACTGCCAAAGAACCCATCTGTAATTTCTCACCACTCTCAAATTAAGAGCCGTTCTTAATTAGAGCTTATAGATGGCTCCCACTTATCAGGAACACCAGAAATTTGGAAGTTCAGTTACTGAAATATACGGGCAATATTAACCAGTAGAGAAAGTTCAGGAAACTTGAAACTTGGGGGATATTTATCGCTTTTGCTTTGCTTGCATGCTTTAACTTTAGAAAAAAGAGACTTTCAAGTTTTGAACAGAGAAACAATGGTAGGGTCCCAAAAACAAGTACCCAAGAAGTAAGAAGTTGGTGTCTTTGGGATTTGGACTGCTAAAAAATAGATGTACACTTCTCGCATTTGACTGCGGTTGGGTTAGGGTTAGGCGGTTGCTTAAAGTACCATCCTTCTTGTAACAATGCATGTGAATCAAAATTGCCACGTTGTGGCATCATGCTATTACCACATGTATTAGCACAGTCACGATCACCCTCCCAGCTGGGTTTAGTGACCGTAATTTTGGTAGGTAGAGAGCCCGACGGTTGTTCCGGGTCAGTCTTGGCCCAAAACCACAGCCTAATTTAAACTTCGAAAATCCAAAGTTAAGATATTTCAAACTTAATGGAGAGCCGAAAACCCGGCTTTGGATCAGTTATTTTTTGTAGCATAGGGAAAGGAGGATGAGTTTTTTTTCCTAAATATGATATTTTTTAATCTATTTTTTAAAAATCAAGTATTTTAAATCTTATTTATAAAAAAAATAATTTTACCATATAAGCATCCATGTCATCTTTTAAATTAAGTGTTATAATACATATTTAATATAATATTTTTAAAAAATTAGAAACATAAAAGAAAAAATTAACTTATGCTCTATGTGTCTCTTTTGTTGTCTTTGTCATAATTTTTTAAAATTCAAATGCCGTTACAATTCAAAATCACAATTACTAGAAAAAATTTTTAGCATATGTATATTGTCAATTAAAAGAAAAAAATTAACTTATGCTCTATATCTTTCTTTTATTGTCGTTTTTTTCCCTCTCCTTACTTTTAGGCTGTTAGAGAATAGACGAAGAGAGTGCAAAAATAAATAGCATATGGCAAGATTCTCTGCTACTCGATTTGCTTCTTTCATTGTGTGAATAAATGTGACATTAAGGAACCGTGCAATTAAAAAATCAATGGTGTTGACATCTAACGAGTCACTTCCAAGGTCTAGACTCTAAAAAGTAGTCCTTCTACCTAGTTGATTGTATTCAATGAGATTGATTAATTGTGTCTCTAGGTTGCCCACATAGAGTTGGTTTTTTTAATTGCTTGACTTTGGCTTCATCATATTCTAAGATACCTACAAGGCATCATGAGAAAATCAATCAAATTTGCCTTTGAGAATTGATTAGGAAACAATATTCGATCATAAGTTTTTCTTAAAGCTTTCCATTGCCACCAACGAGTCCATAAAGCGACTCGATCTAGCTCTCTGTTGTATCTAATTAGATTACACATTAAAGGAAAATGATTCGATAGCCTCTACTCGACTCATCCAATTAATAGAGCGACGAAGAGATTGATAGACTTTTGTAGCTACTACAAAACTACTAAAAGAATGGAAGAGAAACATCACCATATTTAGAATTATTCAAACATAGATCGAAAGAGACTTCTAAAAGAGAAAGAGATGGCAACAGATTGAAAAAAAAAAAAAAAAAAGAAAGCTTTTACTCGATCAATTGCTTTGGAGTTCATAAGCTTGCATGAAAAAAAATCACCATAGATAAAGAAAGTGATTTAGCTCAATGTCATTAATGAATAAATTCAAACAAGTTCTTTTGAATTCTCTATACAAGAATTCTCACTAATTAAAATCACAATTAAATCTAATGATTGACAACCAGCTAAATAACTAGTAAAATCTAGCAAATAAAATCAATCAAAGCTCCAATTACAAGATGAAAACCACCCATAGAGCAAATTATCTATCTAATCATCATATGAAGTTATCTTCTTTATGGATACCTTTATTGCTTCCTCCATTATCCTCATGACTTCTTGGACATGCTTATTACGATGAAACCAATTGCATAAGCTCTAACTTTAGCTCACCAACCTTTTCTCGCTTGGTTTGGATAGCAGATGTAGGACAAACTCTCATATTTTTCATACCAAAGCATGAACCAATACATGAGCCCATAAAATTTCTTACAGATTGTTTTTTGTTCGGTAGATGTCCATCATTAAACATCCTAAAATCCGAACCCAAATTGTGAGAATTCAATTGAAAACTCCAATGAGAAGATCCCAAAGGCTTGCTAGTATTAGCACAAGAGAGAAGTTGTCACATCATGTTCTATAAAATTTTTTGAATTAATTGATTATATGTCTCTTGATTTCGACAAATTATAAGTAATCAAGGTGCCTCTCGAGTGCACTCATTATGCTTCCACATGGAGTTTTCTAGCTAGGAACTAACTTTATTACCAAGCTATCAATCAACTTAGCAATATAAGTTACATCTTCAAGTGAGAATTCAAGTTGTTTAACTATCTCCTCAGCTAATGAAGCTACGGTAAATGAATCAAGATAAAAGGAAACCTCCACTTTTCTGCTCGACAACATGAAGTTTTCATAATGTTCAAAGTCAATAAAATTATATTATTATTAATTTTCTCCCCTCTTAATCCGAATTCATTTTTCTCGGTGAGCTTGTAAATTTTTAGAGTTGAAAATTAGAGCTCCTCATTGATACTTTCTTTAAAAAATCCCACCAAAAACTACTTCTTGTCAATGCTCACCAAATGGGATCATGAATGTGACAAGTTGATCACTTTTTTAGGCATAAGGTTCTTTGGTAACTTCATAGAATTAGAAATAATATCTTTTGAATTTTTAGTTGCTAGGAATGGATTTTTCAAGAGCTCTACTACTGGCAATCTTAAAGAGACTAGAAGTAAACACTTCTCTATGAATTTCTTAACTTGCGGATCGTTCACCTTATCAGAGAAGTTGACTTTATGCTTGAGATAACCTTCTTGTATATCTATCTTTGATTTTTGCATTCGGGATATGGATATTCACAAGTAACCATCTCTAATATGCTCACGTTGAAAGAATAAACATCTCTAACATGCACATATGGTTTATCTATCATGAACATTTGGAAATCCCTTCTTGATCTATTAATATCTTTGTTTTCAACCAAAGTCCAAACTTATTTGATATGTAATTACAACTAAAAGTTGATTTATAAATATATCTAGCAGACAAGTACCCATCATTTAGAAAGATCTTTGGTGGACCTTTCCATGTTCACCACGTGACGTGCAAGTATGAAGGATCATGCATCCTATGGAGGTGTAGAATAAAACAAAAAAATTTCGCCTTCTAAGGCTTTCAAGATCAAACCGTTGGATCAACTAATCATACATACATGAATTAAAGCATAAGTAAAGGACTTGTAGTGCGGAATTGAACCTTTGCAAAAAAAAGAGCCATCCAAGTGTTTGAATTTTATTGATAATCGATATAGTCTAAGCACCCACATGAGAAGCACTCTACTTAGTTTCGAGTGCTAGCTCCTGTAATAACCCCGTCCCAAAAACATACACTCGTTCATGCATACACGTATACTTATTAATTACACGCATATAATTATACATGCATATGACATGTTAGTGGGGTGTTGGATAATAAGTATTTTGAATAATAGGAAGAAATAGGGACTCGATTGAATGTAATCTAAGTTGGGAAACTAGAATAAAAACAAGCCAAAACTTGAGAGACGAAAATGAACTTTACCAAAATATCTTCACAACCTTATCAAGATTACTTATCTGATCATTATTTCTTCTTATCCCATCTGGTTTCCCGTTTTGAGAGAGAGAAAGAGAGGAAAAGCTCATTTCTTTATCAAATTCGGATGATCAAGCTGGAAATCTAGGTAAGTTCATCTCCAGCTTCTGTTTTGCACTCTTGATTTCGAGACTTTAGGGTCAGATCTAGAACATATTGTAAGAATAAAAATTGTTGGTTTGTGTCTTATCTAGCTCTATGTGAAAGTTTTTGGTATTTAGTGATGTATATTTCAGGTTATGATGATTTGAACACATGTTGTTCTAGGTGATCCGATGTTGACAGATTAGTGTGCAAACTTTAAAAATATGGTATTCTTTGGGTGTTGAGTATTTCAATCTGATTTTTGGATATGTTTTATATTGGTATGTCTAGTGCTTTGTTAAAAATGAATTAGGTCTTGATCATGTCCCAATCTAGATTTATTATTGTTTGTTTGGAGACTGCTCGGTAATAAGGGTGCTTGGAAACTAGTTAGAGTTTGAAAATCTATAATAAATCATGTATATGGAATATTGCGCTCATTTTTGGATATGTTAGATCCCTTTGAGTCTAGTTTCATGTGAAACTATAATTTTGTCATTTTACCTTGTATTTTAGGATTTATAGTACAAAGAGTGTGAACTGTGAAGGGGTCAAGTACCCATAAAGAAATGGTAGCAACTCGATTTTTAGAAAATCACCATGAGTTGTGTATTTCGTACATAGATTTTATTTTTGGATATGTTAGAGCCCTATGAGTCTAGTTTCATGTTAAACTAGAATTGTATCATTTGAATCTGTATTTTGGGACTTATGGTAGAAAGAGTGAAAAGGGGTCAAGTACCCATAAAGAAATAAGTTAACCACTAAAGTCATATTTTGTACCTTGAGCATTTTAGAAGTTTGATCATGATAAAATAACTTATAAAAGTATATGTGTATGTATTTATAGACGTCGAGGAGCGTGAGGTGCAAGATGCGACATATTGATAAATGACGAAGATGTCATTTTTGTGAGTTGAATAATAATAGTTGTGCCATAATGTGTTATTGCTATTGAGTGCTAATATTATATTTATTGATATTGATACTATGATGTGAATGATGTGTCGTTTGCTAGTTGATGCAAACATTGTGTTTATTGATGTTATAACAATATTATGTTAATTGAGATTGATATTATGATATGAATAATGTATCG